CAGTTGAGACGCAAACTGTCGGCCAAGAACTCAGAGTGCGATAAACTCAAGCAACAAATCAAAGACATTAAACTTGAATGCGACCGATATAAGCAGGTTATGATCCAATTGAATGACACCATCGTCAATGGCAACGGACATGGATCTGGTTAGTCATCATACCATTCATACCACCTTATTATCTATGAGTCCATTGGTTTGGTTTAGGGTTTGCTGTCGTGTATAGTATAGCAGATGATGAGTACACTATGTATTAGCCATTAGTTTATTTGAAGCATATTTTGTCTTAAGGTCTTCAGCAGATGCCCTAAAACTACGGCAGTAATGAATGGCTGACAATGACATGTCCATCAGTATAGACATAATCTGATGGATATGATTGATAACCAATTGAATTGATATCATGTATTGTAAATGTGGTGACAATAGACTCATTGATTGTCTCATTATTTGAAGGAACGGCACAAAAGGGCCGCAAATACCAGAACTCTCACCAGACGTGTCACTCGTGCTGTGCGGCCGACAAGCCCTACATCTGCGACTGGCAGAACTGTGGCAAACGGTTCCGCAAGAAACCACATCTGGACACTCATAAGAACATCCACACCGGACGTCGGTTCCCATGCGATTGGCCTAATTGTGGCAAAAGCTTTGTCCGCAAATACAATCTCATTGAACACCGAAAACTGCACTCCAGTGTCAATCCCAATGTCTGCGAGTTTGCCAATTGTGGCAAATTTTTCTCAAGTAATTGCACATCATTTTCATACCTTTCCTATTCGTGTCCTAAATCACTACAGTATTCAATATTCTTGGCATCAGTTATACGGTACTAAAGTTTATTCTACGGTACTTACAGTATATTCAGGGAATGGGGTCTATTAGATAGATATCTTAAGATTCACCGATTAGTAAAGTACCCGTACTGTACTGTATGTGATGAGGGTAGTTTTATTGTCTAATCATTACGACTTGCCTTTAAGGGGAAGTCCCTTACTATTGTAAAAAGGCATTGATTTAATTGATTGTATTATTTTCAGGCAAATACAGTCTTATGAGACACCAGAGCGTCCAACACAGCCAACAATAAAAGACATCTTTATTATTCATACCATCGGTTCACTCATTCATCCAATTATTCATCCATTCATTGCATTTCATTCACTATTGTTTAGAAGCAAAAGATTTAAAGATAACAAACACAACACAAAAATAGCAATTACTAACTCATACATACATTTGTGGATCAAATTCTGTAGACAACTGTGTGTTTACTATAATATATTCATTAAAAATGTATTCATTTTATTTAAAATTATTTACATAAAAATTCTCGCTTATAGTGTACGAGACAATTGTATTACTATATTAATGATAATTGACAACAATTGTACACAATTTGGTAGACATTTCTATACATAATGACTAAAATTGTTTTAGTTTTTAATAAAAATATGAATAATACGGTAATTAATATGTGTACACTATTTAGCGATAGTTGATTGTATATGAATTCATAACTTCATACGATATTTACTAACTTTTTTGTGAATCAACTCTATGTGTTGAGTGAATCTATTTAAATGTTTTTCATTTTCTTTTATTAATTATGAGTTAAACTGTATGTTCAGTGCATTGCAAGAGGTTTTTAACACAATTAGGGTGTCTTAGAGGCGGACACCCGTGATATTGATAGTGATGGGAGACAATGACACCACTCATTATATCCCTGTTCCTAAATAGCTATACAACTAAAAAAGTGCTAAATTTAATAGAAATTTGTGTAAACTTTTTGTTTTTAGATTACAAATTTGCACATTAAATATGTTTGACGTTTAATCTCAAGCCTATTGTTGTCATACAATAAGATTTATGTGTTTTGTTTAGTGAATGAANTCTGACCAAACATTTCGTATAAAAATTCGTTATAAAGAGAGAGTTATTATAAGCGGTTTTGAAATCTTGATGAAAGATTTGATGTCAAAATACTTTTGAATACAATTCTAACAAAAATGCATTTCTAATAATTGATAACTTTTGAAAAGCCCCTAATTTTTTAGATAATTTACATATTTAAGCCGTTTCCCAGTTGTAAATATTTTGACAATTATTTCAATGTATTTCTTACAAACTCCTCATCTCTACCTCATGTACTGTCCATTCATTTATAAAAATAAATTACATTTTTCTATAAATTACCCAAATTTTGCGGTTAATTCTTATTTAGTATGATATTCATTATCACAAGAATTTTACGAATAAAATGTTTTAATATTTATTCTTATAATATTTTAATTAATTATTTTATGTATGAACAATGTTCATTGATCATTATCTATAATTATATTAATTAATTAATTATATTATATTATTTAATTATCTATTATATTTTATTATATTAATATACAGTACACAATAGTTAGAATAATTACTTTGATTATAATACAGTAATAATTTTTATTTGCTCATTAATTTATTTATTCAGGAAATATTTTTCAAAATTAACAAAAGTGATTTTTGCTTGTTCATTTAACATAATTACATGAGTTAACTTTTATTTGTAGCAATTGATTTTTATTTTCTAAACCAACAATTAAGGTACTGTGATCAAACACAAATGTCTGGCATATCTGATCAAATAATTTCAATATTTCAGTGCTAGATAATAGCCTATCAGGGATAACACAGTTTCATATTCATGATACCGATAAATGTATGCGGAAAGGCTTAAACTAGAATATCTGGTGGAAATGTGCTTGATATAAATATGACAAACTGACAGTAGGGAGACCCTGATCTCTTTAAAACGTATTTATTTGATGCAAACCATAGCCTGACGTCACGTTAGACTTCGCATAGACTACAATAAGTATCGAAAAAATGACATAACATTTGAAACACAAAATCAATGTTTTTTGTGGTAATAAACGCAATACAGTGTGTAATACTGTAAATATCTCATTGAAATAACAGTACATTTGATTGCATTTGAATAAACATTTCATAAGTGACTGAAAAAACATATGATTTTTGTATTGATATCATGTTATGAATAGATGAACAGTCGTTACAACAGTCGTGACCCTAATTACAGTACTTTTAATCGCATACATAATATTGCCATCACTGGACGGGTAATACCCGTTGAAAGGGCAGCATTTTGCCAATTAAGACATATCGGCGGTGGTAGTGGTGGCGGACCTGCTGGTGATTGGTGGCCAATATGGGGTTAATATCGTTGATCGCGCGAAGTGTGGACACGAGTGAAGAGTCCGTGTATTTAATGCTATGTCTATTGCTATCGTATGTCATATGCATTGCCTTTAATACGGTATTCATCGCGAGCGCAAAGTCCACGAAACTCTGGTATTATCTGCTGTCGGGGGCGGCCTTGGTGTTCACGTACTGCGGATCAGGTCTCTTACACTCACTGGTGGTGTGTCTGTTATGCTTCGCGACAATCAAATGGATGGCTATCCGGACGGCACTGGCAGTCAATATAGTGGTGCCGATGGTGTATCTCCTGTACGGGTGTTACGCCACTCAGATTGGATCCATTTATACGATCGGTTGGACACTACCTCAATGTGTGC